TGCTAATTTATAGGAAGGATAAGAAAAAAGTGCCAGAGTACCTGTGTGGGAGAAAGTATTCGAATCCAAAGCCATTACGAGTATTACCTATTCTTTGAAAACCCTATGCTATATTTTCATTATTCCTTTTATCATTACTATTAATAACGAACTTCATTACCAACATTAGTATCTTCTTCATTGCTCTCTTCGCCCTCCACCTTTTTATTCTTTTTCTTTTCCACATTGATCTATCCTTAAATTGCTTCTATTGTTTTTTTTCTAGAGTCGGCTTTCGTTGATAGCGATTTTTTAAGTGAAGGCAGTGGATTCTTTCCTTCTTTAGACAATTCATGGATTCAGTTATTATTTTGTTAAATAAAATAATTGTTTAAAATTTTTCCACAGTTCTTCAACATCTTTCTAAATATTTTTCTAATTACTATAGTGAATTTGTTCGGTAATACAGATTTCGGGTGTTTCCAATTTTCCAAATAAAGTAATCTTAAGTGGTGCATTATTACTTCCCATTGTGGTATAAATAATAAAAATATTAAATATTAAAAATATCAACTGTTTTTGATTTGAGGCTTAAAAATTTTTTTTCTCCCTCTTCATATTATTACTATTTAAAAATGTCTGTATCTACAAAATTTTTGGTAACAGGAATGTTAATTAGTGGCGTGTGCAATACCATACTCAATAAACTTCAAGATATGCAATGTGTTGAAAACTGTGATCAAGAAACGAATAAAAAGTATTTTGAACAACCAGTTTGGCAAACTTTGAATATGTTTATCGGAGAGACTTTGTGTTTTCTGGCTGGTTATGTTTTATTGGCTTGGGAGTATCATAATGACGATGATAATAAAGGTAAAAAAAATTCAAAAGGAAATGGTGTTGCTGATGATAATGATAATAGTAACAATGATGGATACTTGCCTTTACCTCAAGGGAACAACCAAACTAGTATTGATAATAATGACATTACCTCTAATGCTGACAATATTATTGTTGAAGAAGATATTAATGTTCCTACTAAAGAATTGAAAGGTTGGAAAATATTTTTATTTTGGTTTCCAACAATGTGTGATATTTGTGGTACTACGGTATGTAACTATTATCACCATCATTATTATTTTATCAAATTTTACTATTGGTATAATATCAATATTTTATTATCAAATTTACTATTTATTATTACTCCGCTCTCTCTCTCACTAAATTCTCTAAATTTTAAAGTTAATGAATGTTGGGTTGATATATACTACTGCATCAGTTTATCAAATGCTTCGTGGAGCAGTTGTATTATTTACTGGGACATTTTCTGTATTATTTCTTCGAAGACATTTATATCCTTATCATTGGTTTTCACTTTTACTTGTAGTATTAGGTGTAACAATTGTTGGTATGAGTAGTGTATTATTTCCACCAAAACTTACAAATGATCTTGTTAGCAGTGATTATGATGATTTCAATAATATAACAACATTTGATAATAGCATCATCAAACCAAATAATGATAAAGAAGATAAAGATGTATCACATGCAATTTTAGGAATATTTTGTATTATATTTGCACAAGTATTTACTGCATCTCAATTTGTTCTTGAGGAAAAAATCATGGAAACATATCGCGTCAAACCATTGAAAGCTGTAGGTTATGAGGGAATTTTTGGTTTGGGAACAGTGATTTTTGGAATGATCATATTACACTTTACCATTGGTGTTCATCAACCAGATGGTTATTTTAATATACCAGCCGGTTGGAATCAAATCATCTCTTATCAACAAATTTGGATTGCTGGGATTGCAATTTGTTTCTCTATTGCTTTTTTCAATTTTTTTGGTTTGTCAGTAACAAGATCTATTAGTGCCACCTCAAGATCCACTATTGATACTTCTCGTATAGTATTCATTTGGATGGTTTCTCTAGTATTAGGTTGGGAGGTTTTCTCTTGGTTACAAGTTTTTGGTAAATATTTAACACAAAGTGCTGAATCATCATCATCATCATTATATATATCAATTAATTGTATATGCTAATTAATTACATAATATATCAATTAATTATATATATTAATTAATTATATATACTAATATTTTTATTTTTTTAATTTAGGATTTATTATTTTAATACTTGGAACATTTATCTTTAATAATGTCATACGTCCCCCACCATGCTTCTCGTATCCACTAGCATCAACCACCGAAAATCAACCATTATTGCCTGAAGATGAACATATCTAAATTTTATTAATCTTATAGAAAAAAAAAAATTTTTTTTTGTATGTTTGTATATATATAAACAATATTCCTTAGAAGAAAAAATTATAAATTAATCTTTATTTTTTTAATAATAATAATGACTAATTTAAAATAATGAAGCAAAGAATAGGATGTAATTTTTTTTTTGTAATTATGGTGGATAATTATAATTAATTACCATTAATCTTTTAATAAAATGTCATCTATCAGATAAGTTAAAGATTTGAATTGTTGCTTTGTGCCCGCGCATCTAAAAATTTGTAGTTTTAAAGCCTGTCCATATATATTATTTTACTGTTACCTTTATTATCATCATATTTCCTTCCGATGAAGGAACTAAAAGAGTCTAGTTGCCAATCACTACTTGAAATAAGCAAATAAATAAATAAATCGTGGTTGTTGTTGAATGTTGGTTATGAAAAATGTGAGTATATATACATTATATCCTGTAACTCTTATTCCTTCCTCTTTAGCTATGGTCCCATTTGTGTGATGAAATTCTCTTCTTCCATGGTTCCTTTTTGAATTCAATGATTCGTCTTATTTAACTAAAGAAAATAGAAATAAGAACAGAACAAGATGGAATGTGAGGTAAAACGAATAAAATTATTATGATAGTAATAGAATATAATAAAATAAATGATATATTGTTTATAGTGGTGGGAAAAATAGACTATAACCTCCATTCCAAAAATACAAAATGATAATTGGAGAATTCATCGTTCACCAGAATAAAGAGATAATATCATTACTATATTTGACAATTACAAATAGAAAATATAATAAATATCTTTGACTTTTAGCAACCAAATAAAATACAGACAAATGTAGTATATAAAGAATCAATAGCAGACATTCCAACAAAAGAGGACCTATCAAAAGGACTCATATTGAATAATACAAAACGCAAACCAGTAGTCCAATTAAGAGTCATATTTCGGGATGCTAAAGTATTATCTATATGATGGATATTTCTCGTCTTTCGAACCTAGTTCATCAACATCAATCAGCATATGTAACTCCAGTCACTTTAACGGTCAATACTTCAGTACACTGTTGAATGTACTAGAAATCATTATACATTTTTCAACAGATGAGAAACCAGATCACTGGCTTTAACCAGAACTATGTCACGCTAGAATAATAGTTGCTACCTTATGCCTTCCTAAGCATTGTCCTAAAGTCGCCAAATTGCGTTCTTATTCTTATGGTATAATGAGTGATGAAAGCACACGTGGCGACAAATGATCTTTTTGCTCATCGGAATGAAGGCAAAAATCTGCATACAATTACCATTACAAAGATCGATGACTTGGATGTAATGGGAATACTGTAGCTAAAGAGTTAAAGCAGCAAAAAAATGCGAAGGAAATGATATTAGTCGCGAGAAAATGGGATTTTGGCACATAGATAACACTGCCTATATGTCTGATGCTAGTTGTCAAATTTAACCAGTATTTCTTTTACCGAATGCCTTGTAATCTGCATTGCATTACAAATTGCATTATGAACTTTGAAAGTACAGCATTTGGGAAAACTAACTTTCTGTCAGGTCTTTCTTTGGAAAGCATAACCCTCTCAATTTAACATACACTTATTTACATGATATTAATAAAGAAACCTTTGAATATGAAATCCAAATTGGTACGTAAATTATATTGACGTTGCTTTAATATCCCCTAAAGCCTTATCAAGTCATTGGTTATACCAACTAACAACTATACGGCAGTATTTAACAAATAAAAAAGATATTCATCAAATATTTGCACAATGGTTTGCTACGAACCTACAATGCAATGCCCGGTGACTGATAGCCATATTATTATAATAATTAATTAAGGAAAAATTGTCTTGGTATAAACTGTTATAATTCATCATATAGATGAAATTTTTTGATTTTGAAGAATGTTTTGAGCTCGCAAATCATGTGTCTGCAACGTAGCAGAGCCATATTTTAAAACTAATATTAACGTTTGCATATTTTTATGTAATCATGTCATAAATTCTAGATACCTACTAATACAAACAGCATAGATAATAATATTATTAACCGGTTAATTAACCGGTTAACCACCATTTATTAATTTTTTTTATATATTACAGTCAAACCTCGTCACAGCGGATTTCTTGTTAAAACAGATTTAAGTATTGTCCCCTTATCAATATTAATCATAATTGAAGTTTGCCATAACGGATTTTATTAATAAATTTGCTCCACGGATTTTTGATAGGGGTATTTCTATATGGCTACAGCAGATTCACATGGCATATAAATGTTTGAATTACCGAAATTGATAATAGTTGGAGGAAAACTGCAATTCTCCCTTTGGAAAATGAAATATCTAATAATGAAATTGAAAATTAAAGAAATATAGTTGAAGGGGTTTCAAACAGAGAAAAAATGATATTAATAATATAATAGTAACACTATGCCTAAAGTTTCAACAAAAGATGCCATAATTTCCTTTTGAGATAGCTTTTAATTTTCTTCAACAAGATGATTTAGAAATAGATTATAAAGAATTTAAAGCATTTAAACCATTTGAAAAATTGAAATTATTAGATAATAAAAAACTGATTCAAAATTTTGATTTAACGGATATCTAGATTTAATGGATAAAAAACGCGTAATTATTACAGAATGTCGCACAGATCAGATGAATTATTCACGAAAAAAGTTCCATTTCTTCACATGTCATATACACCATACATACTAATACAAAGACCAATTCCAAAGGAGTTACATACATAAGCTAATTTTTACGATCAGCTATTAATGCATGATCATTATAAACCTTAGGTGATTATAAGAAGTGTCAAAGCAACGCTAACCATTGAAGATCACACTCACACACGCATATGGGAAACTGCCCTTTTAAGGGCTTGGATGTTTAAGCATTACAATCATTCTCATCTTCCTTTAATGTGTAAAAGGTTGAACTGAATGCCACTCTGAGAATATGATGATGTAATTAAATTTCAGGGGAGCGCCTGAGCTCTGAGATTTATTAATTGCATTGTTGTCAAGGAATCTCTCACTTGTTTGGTCATTCTATATTTTCATTATTATTATTATTATTAATATTGTTACTAATGTTAATATTAATACCTTTTTATTTTTCATACTATTCATAATTAATTTTAGTATTTAATTGCATCAAATGATTGGACTTTTATTCCAATAAAACTATTTCAAAACTCTGAAACTTTTTTAAAAACCCAAAACTATTAAAAGTGTGTAAGTTAGTTCTCATTAATTATCTACTTACCTCTAGCAACTAACTCTTGGATTTGGTGTTTTTTTATTTTCCACCAATTGATGGAATTCAGTTTTTAATTTTGTTCTTAATCGTCTAAATTTGCTTTGCTTTTTAGGTAAATCAGGTAAATCCTTTTCAGTTAAATGCAATTGATTTTGCAATCCTTTGTTTTCTTCTGTGAGATTTTTGTTTTGTGATTCTTTTTCTGAAATTACCTTATTAGACACCTCTACTTTTTCCTTTTCTTGTTTTAGTTCTCATTCTAATTCACCAATTCTTGCATCTTTGTTCTCAATTATTTTACTAGAAATTTCTAACTTTTGGTTTTTCTCTGCTATCTCCTTTTGCTGATGCTTCTTTCTGAGTTCATCTTTCTAAAGCCTCTAAATGAATTTCATTATCTGTTTCAGCCTTCTCTGCTTTTGCTGTTCATTTTTCAACAAGGAGTTTATTCTTTTCTAATTCTTCTTTTAACTCAGCATTCCTTTTTTCTAATTCAGCAATCTTTTCTTCAAGTTCTTTATTTTTTTTTTGTAAATAAAACCAAAAGAATTTGAACTATTTCAGGTTCATTCACTAAAGCCTTTAACCACATTTTCAAGAGTGAAATTGTTGCCAAAAATAACTTTCTCAACTCCATTTTCTTTTTGAATATTTGCTCAATCATCCTTGGGTCAAAAGTGTTGTTCTAAAGTCATTAAAGTACCAGCAATTTCTGGTCTTTCATTTTCCTTGACATTGTCAATAGCATTTCAAATCCTTAGTTAAACTCTTCTTCTTTTTCAGCTAATTACTTCTTCCCTATAGAAAATATATGTATGGAATATGTACGGAATATGTACGGAACTGCGGATGTGTAAGGAAAATACTTGTAAAATATAAATAAAAATGCATTTTTCCTTACATTTTACAAGTATTTTCCTTACACATCCGCAGTTCCGTACATATTCCATTGGGGTGTTACAAATTATAATAAACACAAACATAGTTGAGCACACATAAAAAATCATATGTGCGGATTTTTCGCCGA